GGGCGGGGCACATCGCGCGGGACTGCGCAGGGAGCGCGGCCTGCGCGGTGTGCTCCGAGGACGGTAGGGACTCGGGCCACCGGGTGGGTGGTCCCGAGTGCCCAATGAGGGGCGGTGCTCCGGCGGGCGGCAGGCCTCCGGGGCATCGCAGGGGTCGACCGCCTGACGCGGTCGGCTCAGCCCGCCCCCCTACGGGAGGCATGCCGGCGGACCCCGGGATCCGGCCGGCGGAGAGGGCCCCGGTCTAACCATCTAGACCGAGGCCACGACGCCGGCTGAACATCAGGCCGGCGTCGAGGGGGGTCGGTGCCGGGCGGAAACTCTGCCTCCACCGGTCCCCCCTCTCCCCTACGGGTCGCTTGGGGGGTGTGCGGGGGCGCACCCTCCAATCATAGCGGCCCGGGAGGGAGGCGGCGTGGTGTTGGGTCGCACCGCGCCGCTGCTCAGGAGGAGCGTGACCGGGGGTGATTTATTACCCCCGGTCCGGGAGGAGTCCTCAGGACCGCGGAGGGGGGTTCGCGGATGTTATACGCAAGTGGTTCCCGCGGGCCCCCTGATGACCGCTGAGGACGGACCCGTCAGGGGTTTTAGTGGGTAGGGTTTTAAATGTTAGCAAAAGTGATATATTACTCGGAAAAATCGAATACGTTGTAACCAATCGTTCAAGAATTTTATTTATGTATGAAAAATTAAGATGTTTAAGTTATAATAGACATTTTCATGCTTATGAAATTGAAGAAGAAAAAAAGTATGATTTTATAATTACAGAGAATCTTATAGACTATAAAATTTATAACTTGCATATTTTACCAAATAAAAAAAGATATGTTTCTTTTCTACAATTATAATTTAAACCGTTATTGTATTATTCATATAGTTCATTAGACATATAAAATATCAAATAAAAAATATAAAATATAAAATAAATACTGACAAGTAAACATACAAATCTATACTATTTTTTCTATTTCATGTTAAGTACTTTTCAAAAAGTAATTGTATTAAATATTGAAATGTAACTTCGTTTAATCTAGATCAAACTTCATAAGTTTTTTAATCATTGTTCGATGTACAGTGCAAAACAAAACACGGTGCAAAGCAAAGCACATCACCGGACACAACGATTTCAAAACTTAGGAAGTTGAATCTCGGTTAATTAAAGTTACATTTAAATGATACTTGGCACAGTTACTTTTTGAAACGTACTTAACAACATGAAGTAAAAAATTAATA